GAAATAATAACTGTTAGTGTGTTTTGTAATCAGAATGTGTATAATTAAAAGTAAATAAAAATATTGTTTATTCAAGTGTACTAAAATTAAATCTTTAAATATAAAAATAAATAAATGTTATACCAATATGTTAAAGTATGCTAATTCTCAAATATTGGCATGCAGTTAAAGATAAACAATGAATTATTTTTCAAAAAGAAAAAAAAAAGAATAAATTCTTTAGAAATATGCAACCAAAAAGTAGCAAGTTAATTTACAATGAATCATTTTGAATCATGGCTCACTCACAGACTGAAAAAAAGTTACTGACTTGCTGAACAAGCAAATCATTACTTAAATGAAATGAACTGAGAACTGTTAATGTTTTGTACTTAAAACTTGTGAAATTAAATTGAAATTTAAATTTTGTATTTAATTGTATTATAAATCTTAATTAAATGAAAAATCACACATTACAATAAATAAATAAATACATACATAAATGTTATTTTATAAGTTAGTATTCAAATGTTCATAAAGAAAGAAAATAAATGCTACTTCAAAAAAGATTAAAATTAAATTTAAATTTAAATTAAAGTAGCTCAACAGTTCATAACATCTCACATCTGAGCGCCTCCTAACAACTTTGATTTTCACAAGTCTCTTGCGCTCTCTCTCTCTCTCACACACACACACAATAAGAAGTACAGTAGGTATGTAGGAGAAGATGGATGTTGAGCAGCAAAGACTAGACAAGCCCACACATCACTATCAAGTGATATAAAAATCATCTGAGAGAAAAAGAGAGCGATCAAGAAAGAAAGAACATTGGTCAGGCAATTAAAGTCCCATGAAATAATAATAATAATAAAAAAAGAGTTTTGTGGATTTTAGTTATTTGCTAGATTAGATTTTTTTTCTTGTCTTTTTTTTTATATGAAAATTCCTGCAAAATCATCAATGCTTATCTTAGGGTTAGAGAATATTAAGATTAAATTTATTCTCCCTTGAAAAATCAATGAAAAGGAGAGAAAAAGGAGAAAATGCATGCAAAGTTAATTTCTAGTCTTCTCTCTTGCTTGTCACGGATAAACCGAGTTGAAGGGATTATAATATGGAAATACAATCAATACTATTCCATCAGCTCCTCCCAACTCACCCTGAATAAATCCATCTTCATCCAAGTCTTCCCTCTCACTCTGTCATTCTAATCCTTTTTTATTCCAAGGACCCCCAATGTCCACAAAAATAATCAGTGGACCCATGACTTTTCCTTTTTACCGGTTTACTGGATAAGGACTAAGTACTTTAACCCACAATTTCTACCAAATAAAATATTTTAGAGCTTAACATAACTAGACAAAATGTATATTAATTATAAAAATGCTCATGGAGTTTTAGATTTTATTAATTTACATAACCTTCCTGATATAACCTCATATGGGCAGGTTTTCAAGACACTTGATAATACTTATTATTATTATTATTATTATTATTTAAGTTTTTAGATGTTTTAGATCATTTTAATGCTCAATTTGTCTTATTTTAAATAATTTTAAGTCATCTTGAGGCTACTTTGCAAGTTTGCTGAGGCCCCTTAATGGGCCCCAGCCTCCTGGTTGAGAACCACTGTCCTAAACCATGGGTTAACATGGCCTGTTTTAATACCTGCAGGATGACCATATGTCATCTTTTTCCTGCACATGTCCTGGCCAGGATTTCTAAATTGCCTAAAATGTCTGGGTTTCAGCTTTGTTTTCCTATTGATGTGCCCCACATACATTATATTTACATCGCTTTGACCGTTCTCTGAAGATCCCACCTTCTTGCATGCCACGATCGGTCGATTATGTACATTTGAACTACTGTTCAAACTACTTTTCAGTCATTACCTTTAGCAAGTATGAAAGCAATAGGAAAACAAAGCCAAAATAAGACATTTTAGGCTAGTTAGAAATCCTGGCCAGGATATGTCTAGGGAAAAAGAGGACGTATGGCCACACTAAATACTTGTTAGCCCATTCGTGAAACTGTTGCCACATAAATCCACTTTGTTTGTTATAAATCTTCTGAAATAAACAGCAAAAATGAGTCTCTGCATTACTCCAGTTTGCATGTTTGTTCACCAATGGTGCCGTCAGCTGTTTCTCTCAGATGCCAAAACTGTATTTGGTGAACATTTCTGCACAAAGCTCATGAACATTCAAGTATTTTCCAGTTTGCTTAAAAACGTTGCTTAAAAACTCACTGTAACATTCTAGCACTGCATGGTTTCTTATATTCTTTTAGTGTCATCAGCCAATCAGCTTTTATCATGATGTCATCATCTGCTCAGGTGATTGGCTCAAAACAGCAAAGAAGTGCATTTCAAATGAACGGGAATGCTAACAGATAGTTATTATAGACCTCATTGGTGCTAACACCAGGTTTTAAAAAAGTGCCTTAAACTGGGGGTTTAAACAATGTTAAAACACATTTAAGTGTAGAAGTGAGAAGAGAAAGGAGTAAAAAGCTCAGAGAAAAGCTTCAGACAGAGATACACAGTTCCCCTGACAGATTTATTTACAGTCTAGCATGTATCTAAGCTTCATGCCTCTAGTCTGCTTCATAAGTTTACAAATGAGCCCATTAACACAGCAAAAATCTACCCGTAAGAAACAGACAGCTGATACCTTATCTACATCAGTCACTACCCCCTACATGGAGCACAGACAAATGTTTGCGGAGATGGATGTCGAGACTGAGAGAGAAGAATGTTTTTTTTTTGTTTTCCTAGAATGTGCATACACAACTCTAAGTTACCCCTACATGGAGCACAGACAAATGTTTGCGGAGATGGATGTCGAGACTGAGAGAGAAGAACGTTTTTTTTTTTGTTTTCCTAGAATGTGCATACACAACTCTAAATTAAAACACACACACACACACACACACACATGCACACACACACACACTCACACTTTATCCCAAAAGGCTTCAGTGTGAGTTTATGCTGCATTCATTTAACTGCCCATCATTCTGCCTGTGGCATGTCATGCCCTCAAAAACACACACAATATGACATGGGTATGAGTGTGCAGTGGTTCATGCGCTCAACCTTTATCCCCTCACACTCCAATCACATTACATTTAGGCTCAATTATGCCTGTGTTTAGCCTTGTCCTCTTGCCATTTGAAATGGATGTTAGTTCCAGGTGTAATGAGGGTCTTACTGTAGAATCAAAAACACATTTGGTGCTAAGCCTGAGGTTTCCTGTGCTCAATTCAACACACATCCACCAAATCAGAATCTACATTTACCGCCAGCAAAAGTGTCAACTGCAGTTTATCTTATTCAAAACAGTTTCACATATTATTATATGAATATTCAAAATTATGAGTAAATATAGTACATAATCACATAAATAGTATATTTACTATTGTGTCTTGCTTCTACAGCAGTCATACTATACTTTATTTCAAGTGTTTTTTTGTGCATAAAAATGGTCAATATTTAGGTTTTAATGATCATTTTCACTTTAAATCGATCATTTTAAATATTAAAATGTTACTTTACTCAACTAGACACAATCTAAAGTATTAATCATGACATGGCTACACGACATTACAGTGAATAAATCAAGAACATTATTAGCTAATTTGTTGCTTTCTCTCTCTTACCTGCTGACCTGTGCAGCTCGGGGAGAGCCAGGAACATTAGCTCATCAACTCTATCAAACTTTCCATCCTCTTAATGCATGCAATTTCATGCATAACACCTTCATTTAAATGAAAACTATTCTGATAATTAACTTCTTTAGCTAATTAACTACTTCAGCTTCAGTAATTTATATGGCACATCTATTTTGGTACGACGTGACTGGTGTTTGCAATGCTAATAAATAATGCTAATAAATAATGCCAAATACTGAATGCCAAGCACGTAAGAAATGAATATCAGTGCAGTTCCCAATATTTTACTGCTAAAATTATTCTAACAGTGTAACGGAAATTTTTCATTATTTTGTTTGGTAACCAAGGTGATGTGTCACACCTCACATGATCTTTGCATCAAGGAAATCTAAGGCCCCATCCACACGGAGACACGTTTAGCTGTATACGCATACATTTTGTATCGTATAGGCATTTTGTCCACACGGATCCGGCGTTTTGGGAGAGTGAAACCGATATTTTTTGAAACCGGGTCCCAGAGTGGATAAATCTGAAAACGGCGCCCTTGCGTTTTCGTGTGGACAGTGAATCCGTATATTTTCTGAAACGATGATGTCATCAGCCCACGTCTCGCCCCTAGTCAGACACAGCTACGTCACGTAACAGCAACAAACAGTGCTTTTTTTTCAAATGGACCCGATAAGACCCGTATTTTTAAAAATTATCCTGAATGTGTACTTGCACGTTCGCGTTTAGTGAGGAACGCACATAGAAAAGGAGCATACGTTTGTAACCTCGCCAACAGAAATCCATCTTATAGATATGCAATCCATCAGGAAAATTTGCTCGCTTCATTACGCTGCGTATTTATGCAGGGCTTTTCTTTTTTGTGTGTGCAGAAGCCTTTTGCCGGAGATTAGGTTGCAGACAACACTAGCGAAGCCATGAATTATGCTATGATCATGAGTTATGCTTTAGGTTAGCTATGAAAAGCTATCGATTTAATTTTGATCAAACTATCACGTTTATTTTTCAAATCCACTGGTCACAACTGAAAGCCAAACTCAGAAATAACTTGTATCCATCAGGCAGGCAATAATATAAAGTAATATCCAAATTAAATACATGTTAAATAAATTAAAGTAATGTAGAAGCGGCCAAATCAGTCAGCAGGACGCCAGGATTTTCCTGACTGGCTGCATGGCTGCAGACTGTGCACACGTCAATGCCGTTTACGTTCGGGTCCAGTTAGGTTCGAAAATAAATGCGGTCGGGTCGGACTCGGGTCTAATTTCATCGGATCTGTCTCGGGTCGGTTTTTCTTTTTGAAAAAATAATTTATGCACGTCGGGTTCGGGCAAGAAGGGAGTCGGCTCGATTCTGGTAGGGTACAGATTTTAGGACCCGAGAAGACCGCTAACTACATCGTTTTGTGTCGGTTTTGTGGTTTTGTGTGGACGCAGATATTTCCTGAGATGAGGGAAAAAAAGATCGGATAGGGAAAGCTCTGGCTTCGTGTGGACGTAGCCTAAGAGATCAGTGTCAGTCAGTAGGGGGCATCGTCACTAGACTTTACTGTCACCATAGTTACCACACACCTGCATTCAAAGTCATGTAATTAGTCACTTTATAAATAACTTTTGTCTTTGTAAAGACTTTAGTGTTGGCAACTATCCCTGTTCCTTGCATCCACAGCTGGTTCGCCTGTCATGGCTATTTGCCACTTCTGGATTTCACTCAATCTCTAGATTATCCCCACATTCTGCTTAGCCTGATCCCTTCTGGAAGGAGAAAGGATGACAACACACATCCACCTTTGCTCAATTTCTAGGCAACAAACTAACAAAAACAAATGAACACTATAAAACCACCAGGAACTCAGTTAAACAAAGTACTGAACATCTGTGGCAATCCATCATACCTCCTGTATGTAATGCAACATTAGAAGACTTAATAGGAAGAGCAATTACAGAGGCAACTTCTCTCATTAGCCTATGAGTGGTTCTCCTACATCATGAACTCTCAGTACAATTCAAAACTCTCAAAAAAATCTCAGTCAGCCTGTGGTTTTCTGTGGATGACTCAGGATCCTCATGGTGATGAGGTGAAACACTGAATTATGTGTGTTTGGACCCTGTTTCCTCAATTAAAACTTAATTAAATGTTCAATAAAAGTTCGGGGTAATTTACATATGCTTTGCAAATACATTTCAAAAGTCTGGGGTCGGTAAGGTTTTTTGAAAGAAATGAATAATATTATTCAGGAAGGAGTAAAAATATGTTTAAAGTTACAAAATATTTGTTTGATATCAACTTGGGTATCACCTTCAACTTGCAAAAAGTTAAAATCCCCTGGACCAGTTGAAAGACTGAAACAGAAAGTTTCTGAAGATAATACTGTAGCACTTCACAGCACATGCTTTGACTATCTTCATAATTTACTTGTTCGGTATAATCCTCTTATGTGCTAGCAGTCAGTAATTGGATTAACCACAACAAACAAACATAAGACACTGCTAAGATTATTAATGTTACAAAGAACACAGTACAGCAATAACTAATGGAAAGGACCAATTTAACATTAACATTTCTGAGCGAGCACACACACACACACACACACACATTCGGTGCTGTACTGGAGTATAGTGTGAACATAGGGGAAACAAATCACACCTACAGTGCAACAAAAAGTAAGGTTTCTGGAAAAGTTGAAATATACATAATGTATGAAACATAACAATCTAAATATAATGACTTTCTTTCATTAGTGCAATGGCACCATGAGTGTGTGAGCAGAGAAAATGGGCAAATAATTTAATTTACAGAGCACGTTTTGACAACTTTAATAGTTTTTGCCCAACTCTTTCATGTTTAACAGCTTTATTTTCTCAGCATGCAGACTTTGCACTGCCAAAATTGCAAAACTAACACAATTCAGGCAACAAAAAGTGTATCCATAAGCATGCAGAATCCTATAATTGCGGTCTTGTTGATAATGTATTAGTAATTTGTGCAGTTGATCTTACACTGACTAGGATGTTTGAAACTTTAGGAAGGACATAAGTAATTAAATGGCAAATAAGCTGGATTCAGAACAGAAGGAGAGAGAGAGAGAGAGAGAGAGAGAGAGAGAGAGAAATAGAGAGGGAGGGAGAGAGTTGTTTACCTTTATGCCTCATATAGACAGCAGTGATGGATCAGCAAG